GTGTCATTCCCTAGAGTATCATTTCTTTGTTTAACGGTTGCACACGAGAAGACACATGAATATGGCTGCGACTCAAACAAAGAATGTTATTCTCAAGAGAATGACACTAGGAGTGATATGAGAAAACATTAGGTAAAGAGGTCTTTGACTCACCGTAAGGAACACTCGGTGTGAATCCACAATGTAGACGAGTCACTACAGGAGCAAAAGCCATTCTTCCTTCAATACAATGCTGACAAGAACAAAATCGGATTGTCAAAATGTAGAAGCCTATGATTAGTTTTCAGACGAACAAGAGAACATAAAAAATGAACGTGAAAATTTAATACTTTCAAAAATTCACTATAAATCAGACTTTTGTCCAATTGCAAAAAAAAAAAAAATCACAGTGTTTATTTAAAATTCAAGATCTTTTGATAACCAATGCGAAAAATTTGGGTTCAGTTTCACTTTAAGCAATTTTGGGTCTGGACAAATATTGTCTATTTGTAAAACAAAAAGAAAAGAAATAGGATTTACAAGAGTGGATCCAGTGGGGTGGATTGGGTTATCAGCCTTCCCACTTTAGACAAGGGTTATACAAAGAAGAAATATAATGTAACGCTATATACTGGCTTTCTACTAAGAAGTTACCCCCTTGACGTCATCCTGGTTCTAGCATGGGGTACCTTGGGAACAATCGACGGTTACCTTTCTGATGATGTCAATCATGTTGTTGGGTAACTCAAGATGAAGATCACACATAAAGATGATGTCGTTGGGATTCTAAAACGATATCAAACAAAAGTATATCAATCTAAACAAAGAGGTCCCACCACGACAAACCCTTCCATATTAGATGAGTACCTTGACTGCAGTAGATCCTGCCTGGATGCCAAATGCCCTTTGGAATGGACCTGACAATGAAATCACTTTGTACCTAAAACAATGAAGGAGAAAAGACGTGAGCTTCCATAGCATCCACTCTCCCTCCCCTCCCCCATCAACCCTGAACGAGCAAACAAGACCGAGAGTAATATCACAAAGATGTCAGTCATTATGCTAACCTAACAAGTGGACTGCGTCTTAATGCCTCTTGTACGTCAATATCATCGCTGCTGAAGTCCACGATTATCACGTTGAGATGAGGATCACGTGTCTTTAAATAAATCTGCAAGGAAAAATGTCAGAAATATGTAAGATTAAAGAATGGATAGAAGATGCAGAGGCTAATGTTTAAGTATACGGAAAAATTCAACACTCACTACCACTAAATTTTATTATTCCAAGCGGCTAGGGAGGAAAACCAGAGAACCTGGAGAAAAACCCTCGTGGCAAGGGAGAGAACAACACATCAAACCAACTCAATTCACATGTTGATTTTTATGGAGGGAGGTAAACCAGAGAACCTGGAGAAAAACCCTCGAGGCAAGGGAGAGAATAACACATCAAACAAACGTTATTCAAATGTGGTGTCCGCAGCAGAAATCGAACCCGCGAGTTGACCCTTGTGACTCACAGTGGTCTAAGGCAAGCCTTACAAAGATTTTAACAAATGTATAGAAACTTTTCTTACCTCGGACATATCATTGATAAAATACTGTACCCATCTTCCTTGGTTTTTAACTGTGGAGAAAAGTACGACAAAATAGACTTTTTGAGGGATTCACGAAGACAACATTAAAAACCTCGATCTTCTCTTGGATAGACCTCTTTACCTCGGGAGTATAATGTTTTCTCATATCAGACCGCGCGACACTCCCTTGAGAATAAGATTCTTTGTGTGAGTTGCATATGAAAGACACATGAATATGGATACACCTCAAACAACGAATCGTATTCTCAAGAGAATGACACCTGGTCTGAAATGGACAAACATTGCACCAAAACTAATTAGGTCTCTTAGTGCAGTATATCGTGCTATAATGTACATATTTTACCTGGCACTATGACATGTACTGTAGCATGGTGGTTGATCTGGAAATTGTGTGGTAGGCACAGGTTTTCTTTCCCGTTTTTCTGGTATATGTACTGGGACAGTCGAACCGACTTTTCTGGGGGAAAAAACGTTTTATCATATATATAATTTACAGAGCAACTTTTTAAAAGCACTTTATGTAAACTCTTTGTTTGGTGTTTGTCTTTGACTTACTTCTGTTTTGGTCCAAAAGTTCCTGCGAAGAAAGGACACAGGTTTTTATTATTTACGAGTATTAAAACGATAATTGATATACCTTATTCGTATGGTGTGATGTTATTTACATAGATTTCAGACCACGTGTCATTTCCTAGAGTATTATTTCTTAGTTTAACMGTTGCACATGAGAAGACACATGAATATGGATACAATTCAAACGAAGAATCTTATTTTCAAGAAAATGACACTTGGTATGAAATGGAAAAAAATTACACCAAAGGCTAAAATATTCTATTAACTACTATGAAAAGATTGTTGAGCTTTTCAATTTTAATGGATTACCATTCTAATAAAGAGTTTTATGGCAGCAATTTTGTAGGGCAGGAAAAGTACAATGCTTTTCAATAACGAGAGATTTCATTTCCCAGTGTACAAGATTCCTATTGTCTCTTAATACGATATGGCTACCAGAAAATCCTAAGTTGAATGGCCAAATAAAAGCGATGATATAGTCTGATTTGAGCGGTTGGTGAAGATAAAGAGCACTTACAAGTTCCATCAAATATCGGTCGCCATACAACACGTCGTGGTTTTCTTCAACGTTGAGTATTCCCCGAAGAGAATATTTGCTTAAAATCAAATAAAACCAAAATGAAAACAAGCCGATTGAATGAATGAATTAAGAAGGAAAGAAGAAGGAAAGAGGAAGGAATTCGAAGGAAGGAAGGAAGGAAGGAAGGAAGGAAGGAAGGAAGGAAGGAAGAACTTACTTGGATGTCTTCCTTGTCAGCTCTCTCATGTACCGGAACACAGCGCTCTTGGCAACCTGTTTAAAAACAAAGATATTATTGAGCTTTCATGCAGCCGGGCTTCATAAGACATAATACATTTACGGTTTCGCAGAATTATCGTAAGTTAGCGTACAGCCGTGAAAACAATACAACAAATAAACTAGATTATTTTTCACTTCGAATCGACGTGCTTTGCAGATAATGCAAGGGATTAGCTGTAGGTACAATCTGGGCTAGAACATCAACATTTTTTATTAGCAAACTCAAGGGTAGAATTCCTTAATTGCTGTTTGAATGTCTGAAGTCTATACGACGCCTCAGCTCTGCGGATGTCTCGGGGGTTAAAGCACAGTTAGGCCTCTCCGTAGAAATCTTTCGTTAATGTTACTTTCTTTATCGCTTTGGTATATTTGTGTGGTAATGGAGTGAATGGGGTTCTTGTATAAGGAGATAGCTCTCAGTCTCCCTCGGTCACATCATTCTGCATATCACAGGTAGCCCGACAAAAAAAAAAAGGAGTCAAAGTCAAGTGTCAATAACTTACATCCTCGTTGAGGAGAAGATTCCCATCAGACGCACACGTTGTCATGTTATGGTGATACAACAGGGGATTGTAGTTTAAATAGGGCGTCATCTCCGGTACACTCAAACGGATACCGTATCTACGGTATATCTGGTCGGATATCTGACGAGCTGACATCTTGTGTTGATAGATTTGGATGATAGCCTGCATTCGTCGTACATATTCCCTGGCGCTGTTTAGTCGAGTCAGACGTATGTCTTCGTACATGAAGTCGGGTAAGCTGTTATTTTTAACGGGGACTGTTCCTATTGGTCGAAAATAAAACCTTGGAACTGCATCTTGCGTATTTTGGGCGTGGCTCACTTGACCATCCTGGAGAAAAGAATAACGATTAAAGAAAATTAAAGACGTATTGTACGTTTCGTTTGATGAGGAAGTAAAATCGCACAACTTTTTTGCACACCGTTGTGATGCACAATAAATGCACAATGAATAGATGGATGGATGGATGGATGGATGGATGGATGGAGGGAGGGAGGGAGGGAGRGAGGGAGAGAGGGAGAGAGGGATAGATGGATGGGTAGATGGATGGATGGATGGATGGATTGATGGATTGATGGTTTAATAGGCTAATGAATGGATTGATGCGTGGGTGGGCCGTTCGTATCGCTAAATAGAAGGAAAAATGGATAGATCACAGTAAAAGAATGGGTGGGTAAATAAATGATATGATAGACGGTATAGAAGTGCAGGAATGCATGGATGGGTGGTCTTCATGTTAGACAATGTATTACTATAGACATACCGCATTATCATCGTCATCATTTTTCTTCTCAGTTGCAACTGGATAAGATAACAGCTTCCTTCTAGTTCGCGACTTCCCTTGCAATCCATACATATCATTTTGCTTAGATCTTCGAGATTCTTCATCATTCCCTTCACGCCGTTTCTGCACAGTGCTCACCTCTCCGTAAGAACGTCTTTCTATTCGTTGCAAATTTACTATATCGTGCAAATTTACAGAGTTTTTGGGTTGATTGCCTTTCTCGCGATTTGCGCGTTTACTTCTAGACAAAACGGGCAGTTTGTTGCTTGAGAGAATAATTGTCTCCGATAATTTTTGTTTCTTTTTTACATTGGATTTTATATTTCTTGAATTATTGTCCAATGTGCGATTTCGAGATGACTTATTTCTCTTTTGTGAGTCTTGGAATTGTTTTTCCTTTGTTTTAGTAAATCTTGATTCACTATATTGTTTATGCCGACTTTGTTTTACCACTTTCTTTGAATCCAAAGCAGATTTTTTTGCTTCTTTCTTACGTGACAGAGAGAAATTCTTGACTGCTTCGAAGTGTTCTTTCAAAATATCACTCGTTCTCTTATTCATCCCATGGATTGTTTCATGCCTCGATGCTTTAGTTTTAATATTTGTTCGTTCAACTATCTGGTGTTGCAGCGGAACGGGGTGATTTCTAATCCCATTCAGTAATTGCTTACTTTCTTTGTTATCTGCGTTGTTTTCATTATGAGCGGGCTGAACTTGACTTGGCTGTGGCTTTCTTACAAGGTTATTCCGCACTCTATTTGCGTCATCTTTCTTGTCAACTCGATTATCTAAGCCGAACGATACGTTCTCTTGATCAGTTGCGTTAGATTCGTCCATTTTTAACACGTGTTCAATAGGATAATCCTCGGCTAAGTCGGAAAGCGTCGTGACTACCGAACCATTTCCGTCGGGCCCGAAAACAATTATCTTTCCTTCGTGAAACAAGCTATGATTGGTTAATGCAGGGACGAAAACGTTAAGCCTGTTGCTATGGGAATCAGTCAATCGTCTTGCTCGGCATTGGTCGTAAGGGATCATGTGTGTCAAAATCGTCAAGTCATCGGGATAAACCGCAGAATCGTGAATTAATTTAACTCCTTCGTACCTCTTGAGGGTAAAATTCACAAGATAACTTGGTTGGTACTCACAATTAGGTAAAACATTCTCAAAATCTTCCATTTCTACGAGTTGATGGGAACGATACTCATTGGGTACGCTGTTGGAGGCAAACTTGTGCAAATCGTGATTCAAAGCGACGCCCCAAGTGTGCGCATGTGGATGGGAAGGAACAGTTTGAGGAATGAATTGCGCATACTTAGTGACGTCAGGAGTTATGTATCTGTCATCAATATACATTGAAATAGAATCTCCCGAAATGTGTCGGAATTCTGATAATCCAGGGATTTTCCATCCTACAAGTATATGGTCTTCCCTAGCTCCTTGCTTGTGGAGTGCCTCAATGAAGTATCTTCGGCCCTTTTTTAGAAAAACTTCTTTCGATTGCTGGTTTGTGTATTTGGTGAACTGTCCAATGCTGGTTTTGTGGTATCCGTCGAGGCTTGTCCTGTTGCCTACCCAGGCTAGGAGTCTTACGTTTTCTGGGAGCTCATCTTTGCTCAGCCACAGCTCGGATGTGTCGTCTGAAGATAACGCAAACACGTATTTCCCTATAAAGAAAAACAGTATTTAATATACACTGAATCGCAATATGGCGAACAATATAGATAACTATTGTTCTGGACTGACTCAATAGACATTTGTAGCTTCGTTGTTTGTTGTGCACATTACAGACCATGTGATGCCACTCTTGGGAGTCGATTCTTTCATGTGTAAATATTTTAACATGTTCGTCATAAAAGAACAATTCTCAAGGGAATGTCACGTGATCTGAAATGGGCAATTCGTATACGAAGCTGAAGAGGTCTATTTCGACTCAAGTTTGAACTTTTGAAATATACGGTTTTAAAGATGAACTGTTTCCTTTTTTTAGTTTGTCGTTTCCCTCAAGACTACAGGGCCAAAGCACTTCCTACCTGTAAGAGGGGGGTGAATAAATCCAAATATCCGCTGACCATAATCATCTTCATAGTGCTGAACGAAGAGCCTGCTGACTGTTAGATGGAGGTCTGGGTACGAGGGAAAGAACCAATTTCTGCGTAAATCATGAATGGTGTTCCCACACCACGCCTGCCAAATATGTACATTCAGCTGACCACGCATCTGCAGACGTAGGAAAAAAACACACAGGTATTAGTGTTTGTGTTGTTAAAATAATATAGAATCTTCCAAAAATATCGTCTGTGATCATTCCCATAAGAATCAAATATCAAGATAACCTCAAATGGCCTCTAGGATGATCAAAGTCAGGGACGGTGAACCAGCTGCCTGACAGAATTTTTGCGAAGGGAGGAAAACCGGAGAACCGGAGAAAAACTCTTGAATCAAGGGAAAGACCTAAGAATCTCTACTCGTATGAGATGCCAGGTCCAGGGATCAAGCCCGCGACCCCAGAAGCGAGAGGTGAGTGCAATACCCCTACGCCACCCTTGATTCACTAATGTATGTGATGTTGAGTCCAGGAATTAAACCCGCGACCCCAGAGGTGAGAGGTGAGTGCAATACCCCTACGCCACCCTTGATTCACTAATTTATGTGATGTTGAGTCCAGGAATCAAACCAGCGACCCCAAAGAGGTGAGAGGTGAGTGCACTACCGCTACACTACCCTTGATCGTCCAACAAAACCTTTGCAAGACACCAATGCATGTGGGGTCTATACGACAAAACTCCAAAACCTCTTTTGTTGTAAACTAAAAAGATGGCGGCTTAACAGATCAATGTTACATAGCAAAATTATGAACCCCTTGTGTGTGACGTCAACGAAGCACAATTGGGAGGATAAAACAAAAGAATTTCACTCTCATAAGAATTGGAAAGCTATTGTTATGTTCTCCAAATTGAGCTGCATTCCGACGGACTGTAAGGTTTCTTTTGATCAAATGACGTCAATCTTACATTTGGTTTCCATGGAAAAGGCTGCCATTTAATCTGGTTCAATTGAGGGTGGTGTTCTTTATCACGTGATTTTTCGTTAGCATTCTTTGTAGGGGAATCTGTTGCTGTTTTTTCAGACTCGACTTTGGGAGTGCTGGTGGATGTTTTAGAGTTATTTTCTGCAGAAATCAAAAGAAAATGAATATGATTACAAGGAAAAAATATCTTTGTACCCACGATACGCATGAATATACAATGATATATTGAGCAGCCGAGAAAAGCTGCTTTTCACGAGAATAATGGAAAATTATAGAATAATCTATAAAATTAAAGAAACCAAACAACAACAACAACAAAATCCAGAAA